CCCGCGTCGTTTCGTGACTTCATAAGGAAAAGGCGGAGGTATGGCTGGCTTTCTCCAAAGCCACTTAACCCGGTCCAGTAACATCCATCCACGGAGCCGTCACGCCTGTGACATTTTCGACATCTCCGTCGAGTGGGACCTCTTTGGAGCCCCCACGGTGATCTTCTCGCGATTACGTTCCTCCAAACATCTTCTTCTCTTTGCACGGATTGTGAAACATCGACGGGAACATGTGACCTTTACAGAAATGTCGATTCCTGGGCTGGATCCACCGAAACTGGCGTTAAATGGAAAATCCATTCATCCTAGACACGACTCACACACGAAATCCTCTATAGGAAAATAGTTTTAGGATCGACTACTGGGATACATAAAACGACCAACGGAATTGCCGACAATAATTGCTCACCTGGACCACCGGTATTCCGTGCGGTTTATAACAGTTACATTCTATTACCGTTCCAATTAGGGGTTTGCACGAGATACCACATCGTAGGCCTGGGACACTCTCGAATTACTCACTTTTCCACGAGATTAAAACGAACTGCCACCACCAAGTATGGAATAATTGTAAATTGTTTCACGACTGTGGATAATGGAGGAATGAAACAACAGTTGATCGTGCGTTTCATTGGTCCTATGCTCGAGGGAATATCGCCGAGGAACCGTATGATAACGAAATGTAATCAGGTCCATCGTCCGGTTTTTTTCCGATTATCGATGCGCCCCAGTGAAATTGCCGCGTGTAATAAAAAAAACGAAGACGATCAACGCTCGTTTTCTCACCGAAAGATAAGGTCCCCTGGCCTAGAAAGTGTCCGCGGCTTTTAGACTCGGTCGAACTTAGCAAACAAATCGACGCGCCCAATTGTATGTCGCTGGGAATGTTGACTCCTTCTCTCTTTCTCACTCCTGTCAGGTCGTTTCGCCTGGTATTTCGATGCAGAACACCCAGAGAAATTGTCTAGATTGCGATTCGTCGCGTTCCTCTTTATCTCGTGGCGATCTTTCTCCGCCCAATTGAAATTCCACGCGGTGTCCTGATAAACAGAGAAATTCCATGGATTCGGGGGACTGTTGACCAGGTAATGATAGCTAGTGGGCCGTCTGCTGTACCAGTGTTTGCATTGCAACCGTGATTTCTGGCCATTCTTCAGAGGATAAAAGGGACGAAAGAATTCACCTACAACCTTTATTGATCCAGGTCCACTATTGATATTCTGGGATGATTTTAAATTGTTAAACGTGGAATATTTCTAGAAATTATTATTCCTGATCCGATGGAAGGGAAAAGGAAGCGCAGATTCTAAGTCCATGGAAATTTTATGTTCAATAGAGGAGCAACACGAGAGAGCGAATGATTTATTCGCGAAACGCTGCTCGACGACACAAATCGAGCGGAAGTGTCGCCCGATGTACCGGCGAATTCAACCTGTTCTGATGTGGTCGATCCACGATCAGTTCCTCGTGGTTCCGCTTCATCGGCCAGCTGATACACGACCAAGTGACTGAAAGAGGAGTGGAGGATTATACAAACGCCCCCAGACAGCGCGCTAATGCATGTCTTTACGTCCCACTAATTAAGAGAGCATTGCTTTTTGGGTGGATTCGACGCGAGAAACCTGTTGGCATCCTCTGGACAGGTTCTTCCTGCTGGTGATTCTAGCGTTAAAAATGCTTGTGTGGATTTTTATTAGTTACTCGATGATCCATAATATTCTTCGTGGTCCAATTACAGAATTATCATTATTATTTGATACTCGTGAGGCTTTTGTTCGCAATTGTAGTCTTCTTAGAATCGCCATCGTAGTCGAAGGAAAAGGAAAAGTTCCTGGACACGCAATCGAAGTTAAGATTGAATTCGAAGAGATTGAAGTGTCACGTCCAGCATTCCTCTGTGAGCGTTGCAGGAACATCACGAACGATCCGACATCCACTCGAATTCCAATTAGAAGTGGATCACGGTCTCGAGCTCGATGTTCCTGTTTCGCGTCGTCGATGCCGAGATGTTAACAAGTTATTTTATGCATCTCCCGTGGCAATAATAACATACCATCGAAAAGAGTTCGCGAATTTCATGAGAATTTTTTCACACTCGACATGTGTATGTACACGCGTGTCCGATAGAAAGTTTTAGAAAATCGTTCCGCTTCCACGAGTCGATTTAGAAAAATCGAGCAGGTATACACTGACAGCTTGATCGCTCAGAACGTTGGTGATTTCTATGGAAGATTAACGATCTGGATCGCCATTAATTTCCGGTGATGGTCGTCGAAAAGGGGGCGGAAAATCAGCCGAGGATACGTGATCTTCGATTACTCGGAGTGTTTTGTAGTTACCATAAATTAAGAATAATTTCGTTCACTATCATTTTCTGTATTGTCGATTGATTCATCAATAGGGGTTGAAAAATCATCCGAAAGAGGTCCTGTCACAAACTGTTTTCGCCTTTGATTTACAATTATATCCTTTTGAGACCGTGACGATCATTACACTAAAGAAGAGCACCTGAATTCTTCTGGATGCTCCGTTTAATCACAGGTGATAACGTGGGCGTCTCGAGTGGGCGACGTTTGAGTTCTCGCTTGGGAGCGATTCGCCAATACCGACGACGCCCACGGGTTATTTGTTGGCTGGTCAAACAATCTGAATCGAGGGACTCGCGTCAGGCAAGTAGGTAATCAGCGAGCTTTTTCCCGACGGTAAGGACATCGTTCTTTTTCTCTTTTTTAATGGCTTGACCGACGAATACAAAAACAGAACTGTGACTGTGGATAGGGGAAAAGAACGTGGAGGGGGATAGATCGAAACAGAGAAAAAAAAACAACAAAGTGTAATAGAGTACAACACGCACCACCAATCGATCGAGTATTTACAAGCTCGGGGAGTTTCGTACCTTTTTGCAGCCCCGACTGCAACGCGTACAATAATAAATTATTTAATTCACATATACGGTCGATCTATCCGTACGTGTCTCTGCGTAATTATGTGTACACGCAGATACGTATGTGTATGTATATATGCTAGTCGAATTTCTATAAATTAAGTTAAATAAGAGATTCAAGTATTTTCTCGTGTAGCTGGCAGGTTGAGTGACCATTATCTTCTACTATTAATCTACTGAGCCACACACTGTCGGTTCATCTTTTTACTAGAACATACTTCAAACCTTTTTCTGTTATGTATGTACCTCTGACTGCCTCGACAGTCACCGTGAAAAAGCAACGAAACAGAATGTGGCTCAACGAATTAATTTTCTTACTCGCGATCTCTGTCATTACAATGCTCGATCGTGTGCAACGGTGAGTCGCAGCGCTTTCGCCTGTCGTGTCGTTCATTCTCGCTCGTCGGATCTCGTGTCGAATTTATCGTGGCGACCGCGAAGCCGCAAATTTCACAAGTGAACTCTTCACAAGAACGATCGACAAACAGTAGAGTCCTTCAAAAAAACACGGAAAGAGAATCGTGTAGCAATCTTTCCGATCCGATAACTCCTTAATCGACCGATGGAATCGAGCACATCGTAACATCCGTTTCCGTTAACGATTCAGATAGATTTATCGTATTTTTGTTGTGCTGAAACGAATTTCGCGTTATCGCTAGACAGTCTTTCTTTACTTCTAATTGCAACGACGTAGAAAGACAGGGGCAGGAATCTTAGTACGGTACGCGACCTTGGGCGAAAGAATGTATAATAATTTCGTTCGATATCTTTGTAACCGATAAGACGCATCCAATAATAATCGAGCACGTTCGGGGATCGCACGATAGCTTCGCGACAGAAACGATCGGTATCGAACATTTTTGTACATCTGGACGGAAGGAACCTCTTATTTTCGTTGAAGTCCGACGTATTATCTTCGTTTTTCTATGCAATTCAACAGACTTTAAACCGTAGTTTATCGATTTTACGATACCGTGTATGTATTACCGCCTGGCTGTTGGGAAACGCTGTTAACACAGTTTCCTTAGCACAAAGGTAACGCACATATAACGGAGAAAACATACAAAATCCCCCGGAGCTGTTTGTTCTACGCTGATCCACGTATTTACTCAGGGGACACGGTCGTCGGGATGCAAAACAAAAGATCGTCTTGCACCAGATCAGCTTTTGAAAGCTGTAAAACGTTGGACGTTCTACAGTAGGCTTGAAAATAATGTAATAATCGTTCAGTATCCTCCCTCTGTCAACCCTCCGCAGCCCCACACAGTCGCCGCCATTGAACCTTCGGTGGTAAGATATTAAACGCGATAAATTTCACTGGATGACAAGTGCCTTGGTACATTTTGGTGCACACTGTTCCCATTTTCGTTGAAAGTCGAATGTTTGCCGTGTCAGGGACATTACGGAATGGCGGTCAGCCTGTTAATCCCTGGTGTACCGTCTTCGATCGAAGAGTGGAACCACGATGGGTTATCGTCCGTCGGTTCCAACGACTCTCACTCGGATGATACATTTTCACTAGAGAAACGAGCCAGCCGAGACTCATCGATAACACGATGTAATCCGGGTATGCAACTGTCGGCACACCGTTGTTGTTTAACGTTCGTTGGTACAGGATTGTTCGTACCGTGGAACACACAGAACGGTATCAACCTTCTCGACAAGGTTGCAGCACGAGCAGAAGGTGGCGTCTGTGATCAGGACGCAGTTTCTTCGCGCACAAGCGTCTCCACTCGGAAGAATAAAGCCATCGATCACACACATACTCACGGTGTCGTCTAATATATCATATACATATATCGCGTGTCGTGTAATTCATGATACACCGTGACTTAATCGAATCGAACGTCCTTAAGCGACTATACGAACGTATTGCACACGTGAAATATCTCTAACTGGTTCCATAACGATTTGATAATGATAATTGCGATCGTTTGTATATAATATATTATGTACACCAACGGGGGCTTTGATTCGCCTGTACATGGGGGTAGCAGCCCTTTCATATGGTTCATCTTCATCGAGTCGTCGTTCCAATAGGGTTATGTGTCCCCGATTAAAACTGGAGGATTTGGTTGATCCATTCACGGAACTCGGAGATTCGCGTGTACACGCCAGGCTGGTTCGGTACCGCGCAACCGATCCCCCAGCTGATCACTCCGGCGAGGATCCATCGTTTGTCGCGCGCCCTTTGGATCACCATCGGTCCTCCACTGTCACCCTACGGAGAAAGTTTGTGGTCCTTTTTTAATACAATTCTCACAACGAAAAAAGAAAATTGGTAAAGATAAAATTCATTTGTTACTTCCGAAAAAAATAGAGATGCAGATCAAACCGGAAAACGTGAAATTAAAAGATAGACGATCGGAAAATTATACAGCGATATTCGGGACATTATTTCTCAAATAGAAGGATTCATATCGCCCGAAACACAATCGTATCGCTTGACATAAATACCATTTCTAACCAGCTATCGTATAAATGTACGATAAGAGGGTACACGCACGACTTTCTAGATTCGCGATGGTACTGCATGATATATTAAAAAAAAAAAAAACTCAACTTTGTCTCGCACACCGTGTTGTTGATGACCGGTACAGCCACTTCTTGGAGCGTGGACGGCAACGGGCCCTCTGAAAATTCAATTCCAATCGGTACGTTGCACCAATTACGGTGAAATTGCACGGAGAAGTAATTAAGTACCGTCGTAGAGTCGACCCCAGCCGGTGACGTAAGCGGTCCGACCGACGTAATTTTCGTCGTCGTCCGGCAAACAGATCGGCAGAACGTTCGGTTGGAAGGGCAACAACGGCTCGTAGAATCGCAACAAGGCGAGATCGTACTCGAATGTTCGAGGGTCGAATTGAGGATGACTGGCGACAATTTGGACCCTTCTTTCTTGGTAGCCGTAGGGTTCGTCCTCGTTTGCGAGATCGTGTTCACCGATTCGTAGCAACAGATCGCTCGGTGGTACGCTGTAGAAACGATTAGAAACGAAGAAAATTAAGACTTTGATTCCACGAATTCGGTAATTTTTCCGCTTTTATCGGGAACTAAATTCTCGCGGAAATGTTCAAATTATTGAAAGTGTTGAATAGTGTGTTCGAGATATAAACGGTTCGATTAGATTAAAGTTGCTAATAGCGTGAGACAGCGATTCGTGACGCCAAAGTATGTGATCTTTATGAGATTTTCGGCTTTATTATCGTTATCGTTCTAAGTAGATGACAAATCAACATTCCTTCGATTCCAAGCACCGCGAGCTACGTGATCTGGTTATTAATAAATGAGTTTGTTATGTATCAGGAAGATGTATCGATCGGTAGTCATCACGATGACACACGCGTGATATATGTATACTCACTTTTCCACGCAGTGCGCCGCGGTTATGGCCCAATTCTCGTTGAGCAAAGCTGCGCCGCACTTGTGCAGATACGTCGAGGTTCGCCATTGTCGTAACGAGATCTGAAAGGAAAACATTCATCTCGGTTAACGAAGGAAACGATGCACCAGTCATACGGCGCGTCGCGCCAATCACGTCGAGAGAGTCATTCTTTGATCTCGTAGGAAAATATTGTCAGGTTGTGTGTCTGTGATCCGTTCGGTTACTCACCTGCCAAGGCCATTTTGCGAACGAACTTCTACTACCACCGACGATACGAGATTCCGGGAACAGTCTTCTTCCGCACACTGCAAGAACAAGGATTGTTGAGTTTAAATTCATCAACAGATTCTCGTGTCTCAGCGCGGCGGCCATATTGGAGAACGAATCTCCGTCCGATCGTAGAAAGTACACCTTGTATCGTCTCGATTAGATGAATCGAGTTTCCTCCTTCCTCTTATCACGACTATGTTTGCTTTTACGAACGAATTAATGAAACGATTCCATCGATTGAATTGTTACGTAATAATCTAGCTCGAAAGAATCGAAGCGCAATGATCAATTCGACGACAAACGATATATGTCCGTTTACGTAACCAGGCTTATGGATTTTTCATTTATCTTCCTTTCACGATCGAGTGACGCGGCGTGATTTCTGTGTACGCGTGTTGGATCAAGATCCAGGTTTCTGTATTATCGACCACGGATTCTAGCTTTATCGCAGCAGTCGAGACAGATTCGAACAATAAATTCGTCGTTGTAAAAAGCTCAGTCGGAAGTATATCTCTATTTTGTCGCTGTTAAATGATGCATTCTATGACCGTAGCATTATAACAAGATTAACAAGATATACAATGGACAATCACCTTGCTTGTAATCTGACATGTTCAGTGTTTCCATAGGTACCGGCAAATCCGTGGCTATCGTCACGCTCGCGATTGTAGAAAGGGTTGTCAATATGGTCGGCCTTTTCGTTACAGATTCCATAGTAGTATCGAGGGCTGGTTTGCCTATAACGTCATCGAGAACATATCAATAGATTAAAAATAATGATAAAAGTGACAGCCGACTGAAGAATATCTCGACAATCGACAAGGCGATCAACATCCAACCCATAGAAAATTAATATACCCGAAGTGGTGGGTTGCAAAGTAGATTCAAGGATCGGTCTAATCGTAGTATCCTCCGAGATCTCCGGTTTCTTCGTGCTCGGCGACTGGATCATGATCCAGCCGTCCGGCGTGGTGATCGGCGTCCATTCGCTTTCGGTTTGATCTGAAACACACGGCGAACATTACATAGATCGTCGATAAATGTTCAACGGTTAGAAGTCGATCGACGTACACGATTCACGTGTACGAGAAATAAAGGAATTCGGAAGTCGACTCGCCCCCCTGCGTAAAACTGGAGCGAAGTGCAGTTATCGGAAAATAATTCGAGTCGTTCGAATTACAAGCCAACGGTGAGGGGAAGGAAGAGGAAGAAGAGGGCAGAGTGAACGTTGTGTGTGTTCGTGGGGCATTCGAGAGGAAAGATTACGGTGGACGGTTTGAACCGTTACAATCGTTCACCGACGCGGCAGGAATTTCATCTCCGATCCGTGAACCTTTTTGTTTCTTTAATCGAGCCGACGACCGTTTCGGAACTCGATTTAATGTCCTCCCTCTCCACGGAGTAATTCTATTTCACGCTTACGGGCTCAGCACGTGGGATCGTGAAACGCAATTATTCCGCTTAAGGATATACGAGTCGCGGTGACGTTCGGCCGCGATTCCAGCCGGATTAATCGATGCAACGTCCTCGCGGCGAGAACGGCGCGCGTGTATCATACGCGGAAACAACGGGGAGCACTTGATTGTTCTCTTTGTTATCGTCCCCGCGGTCGATCTATTTTCAGATTAAATGCTCTTTACGTCGGTAAACCTGTCCCCGGGAATTACGGTGTTCGATGTCTTGAAACTGTCGAACGAACTACAAGTCGAGTCAAAGCACACGTGCCGCGTGGTTTCATAATGGTGAACGCGTCGTCTTGGCTAAAATGGTCCACTTATTGACATGAAATATCTTCGAAACCAATTAAACTAAATTAACTAACTTTACCTTACGTTAGACTTTATTATTTGAAATGGCCTGTAATTCTATGGCCGATGAAAAGCCAATGCCTCTCACGAAGTATTTTACAAAATGTTTCATTTATGTTCGTTTAACATACAATACTTCGTGAAAGTAGAATGCTTAAGCTCAATGTACAGAGTGGACGACGAAACGTGATCAGCTTGGAACAATTAATCAGAATACGTTCTTGGATTTAACATGAAATTCAAGATTCAGATTCGCAAAATATTATATTTGTTTCCGATGGAATTTCGGCGAATTTATGAGAAGTAACGAGTAAAAGCGCGCGGGCTCAGGTGGATTACGTTCGTAATCAATCAAATTCAACGGGCAGCTTTCGCGGTTCTCCCACGATAGTAGTTAATGCAAGCGGTGTGCTACCCCGACGTGAATTGCCGCCGAGATGATTTCCTATTGACGACAAAACCGTCACGTTACACAATGGATACCCGTTTTCTTCGATTTCACCGAGCCGAACGGTTTTCGTTTAGCATGCGAATGGGTAATGCAAATGAACGAACCAACCATCCAAAAATAATTGTGCACGCGCGCAATTAACATCGAGTCATATAAATTCAAATTTCTCGATTAAAAGTAATCGATCCTAGCCGTGAGAAGCCCCTACCGATCAATCTTTCCTGATAAACTGTACTACGACTTACAAGCCCTTCGATTGATCAGTAATTGGACAAAATATTGGAATAATTCCTAACTCCGTATAACAAGTTAATTCTAATAATTAAATAATAATTATTTTTAATAACCTTCGTCTAATATTCGAAATCATCAATCTGTTCGAATGTTAACATTAAGAGATATACATAAAACACAAAGGGACAATTAGCACATTAGCCTAACATAATATTGTGCAACTCACCGGTCTGTGCAGTCGTCGTAGAAGATATCTCCGGTGTTTTTGTAGTGGTATCATCCGAAGTGGAGGTCCACGTGACGAGACCAGGCGATTGTGTCGTCTGTGGAATTTCTTCTAAAGTCTGTCCGACAGTCTGAACCGGCACTTTTGTCGAAGCATATGTCGTCATTGGTTCCGAGGTGGTCACAGGGCTCGTGTCCGTCACGGTGGAGACGAACACAGTCGGTTGAGTAGTAGTGATGGGTCTAATGGTTGGTTTGCTCGATGGTTTTGTAGGTTTCGTCGTTTCCACCGTTGGTCGTGGTTTCGTCGATTCAACCGTTGGTCGTGGTTTCGTCGATTCAACCGTTGGTCGTGGTTTCGTCGTTTCAACCGTTGGTCGTGGTTTTGTCGTTTCAATCGTTGGTCGTGGTTTTGTGGATTCAATCGTTGGCCGAGGTTTCGTAACAGGGACGGTGGTGGGTTCGATGGACGACAGTGGTACCGTTTTCTCGGTGGTACTCGTATATTCGGGTTTAGGCACCGTTTTCGTGGTGGTTGTACCGATCCTCGTAGGTTTCGGCTTCGTGATCGTTGTGAACGGTCTCGAGGTGGTCGTTCTGATCGTCGTCGGCTTTGTTTTATGAATCGGCTTCGACGTGACGGGGGTGGTTATACTTGACACAGCGGCGAACGTGCTGGCAGGTTTTGTTCCCGCTGACGAGGAAGTACTTTCGGTGGTGGTCGCGATGGTTGGCTGGTCTTTGACCGTAGTTGGAGTTAACGTCGTGGTTAATGGTACCGTGGTCCCGAAACTGGAACTGGTCGGTTTGGTAACAGGTCGTTTAACAGGCGAGGTTGGCTTCTTCGTGGTACTGGTTGGTCTCTTTGTACTGGTACCGATCGTCGTTGGTCTTTTGGTACTGCTGATAGGTCTTCTGGTACTGGATTGAGTCGATGGTTTGCTCGTGGTCGCGTTCCTTGGCGGAAATCTCGTCACCGGGACGATCTTCTCGGTGGTTGTAGAGATTGTTCTCGATGTTGTTGATTCCGTTGTTTTTTCGGTGGTCGTTTTCAGAGGTCTCGGTGTCGTTGTCTCCGTGGGCTTATGGACAGTAGCGTGGGTCGGTTTGTGGGTCGCTGGGTGCGTTGGTTTGTGAGACGAAGATGAATGAATCGGTTTCTTTGTGATCGGCTTGGACGTTTGGACGGAGGTTTGCGTGGTGGACGATAGTTTCGTTGATGTTTCCGGCGTCGTTGGCCTCGAAACGATCGAAGGGGTCAGCGTGGAAGGTTTGCTTGTGGTCACGATCGTGCTGGACGTATTTTGCGGCTGTTGAACAGTACTGACGACGATTCTATGCGGGGTTTCCGTGGTCGAATCCACTTTCGTGGAATTCTCCACGGTTTGAAAGGTTGATAACCGAACCGGTTGCGTGGTCGCTTCGACGGTGGTCAGTATCGGCTTTTTCGTCGCGAGTTTCGTCGTTTCCTCTGTGGTCGTAGAATGCGTGCGAGTACTTTCAGTGGTGTAAGTATTGGTCGTTACCTAAACATCCGTGGGAAGAGGTACAGGTTATCGTTTATCCGCGGAAAATTAACTCTCACATTTTTAAATACGAATTTCGAGTCTAGAACTGGATCTTCGATGACTACGGAATCGTGATCGATTTACCTCGACGGGCTGCGTTCCAGGTGGTTTCCTCTCGTCGATCGGCCTCGGCCTTGAGAAGTACTCGGGTATGTCGTTGCTCTCGATCGGCCCGTTGGTCGTGACGAACGGCCTCGCCGGCGTGCCGTCGTCGATGCTGTTATCCTGCGGAAAAATGTCCGGCTCCTCGTCGATCTTGCAACAGCTACCGAAGTAGAAGCGATCGATGCAGGTCCCGAGATGCGTGCCGTTCGCCTTCGCGCATGTGAACGCGAACATGCAAACGCCGGTCTCGCCGGTTCGTCGTGACACGCACGGCAGGTTCCTGATGTTCCTTCCAGTACCTGTGGAAAAATAGAGCAATTGTTTCCAAACGTGTTGAATAATTTCTATTCCTATCGATACAGCATTCGATTCTTTGAAAAGCTCGATGAATATTAATACGGCAGCCAACGCAGTAAAAACCGGTCTTACAGAATCTGAACATTGCATCAGGGGTTGCCTTATTAATCGACAGAGTTGGACGCACTTTGATGAAAATCGGGACTGTTACACGCATCTGAGAATTGGAATGTGAGGGGCCAGGTGGATAACGATCGCGTTAATTGTCATTGAAACGGTGTCTTTCCCTGATTGACGATCGAAGGGATCAGTGTCCGTGTTCTTCTCTCAGGTTGGTGATAACTCGAAGCCTGTAAACTGTCTACATGTTCGCACGCGTTCTACATTCACCTCGAGACAGTTGCGATCGATGGTCCGTAATGCCTCTTAATCGTCCTACTGTTTGCGGTCGCGATCATAATGGAAGACGGGCTACAACGGATTAATAATCACCCCTATGGAAAGAACCTTGTATATCTTCTCTACGCGAAACACGCGCTACCGGTCTCTAATTATTCATTACGCGTGAATCGAAGGGACGAATAGGCAGCGCGTGGCGTGTCTAGGATACGTCGGATGTCCACGAAAGGAGAACGCGCGCACAACGGGGACAAAAACGCGGGAATATCAAAGACGGATAACGGAATGGCGAGAGGCTGCTTCGGCAATGATTCATATGCCCCTCCGGTACAGTTATGTGTTTCTATGGTGAATAACGAAACGAGAAACGAGCCGTGAACAGAAGTCGGGGAATTTGTTGAGTTTTGCCCAGGAGTTTTGTGTGGATATTCAATTCGACGATTATTCGATTTCGTCGGTTTTCCACGATAACGATTACTAACGGTTTAACGATTTCGCCCGTTATCGAGACAGACGATTGCCAGGTGACCAGAGATTATTATAATATCATTCCGTTCGTAATTCGGTGATCGTTATCCGAGATCCACGATAACGATTGTTTAATTTCCCCTCGATTAGCCGGCGCAGATAATGCATAATGTACAGCGGGGCGTTATCGAGGAACGAATTGATGTCAGCCGAGCCGAAGCATCTCGGTACCGTTAAGTTTCGATGTGTGAGCTAGTTGCCCGAGCCAAAAGTGGGTCACAGTCATAGCCTAATGTAACAGCCCGTTTCCCTCTAAGACACCTCACGATCTCCGCTTCTTCTTCCCCTTCTTCGTTCTCTCTCTCTCTCTCTCTCTTTCTCGACTTCTCTCCCTCTCGGCTACCCAACGAAACCCTCGTGCGCATTCCAAGGTTCTTTGGCTCAGCGTGATTAAATCGACATACCTGACCCGAGCTCTACCACGCTGGATCAAGCACACCTGTGTGTGTCCGCTGCTCAACTTCGGCGAACGCGTTAATTACGTTCCCCTGCGATCGCAGGCTAACGATACGCTGCTTCGCTAAAAAATTTCGTGTCTGTTATTTCTGTCCTCTGTGAATTCCCATAATATGCTCATAGCTCTGACATCCTTCGTCGTCATTTAAGTTCGAAAACAAATTTCAGATTTCAGTAAATCCTCGATGACTGTTCAAAAACTCCTCGGCAGTGAACATTAAATATTTCCTAAACTAATTGCCATATGCAGCTGAAACAAATATCATTTGCTTCAAAATTCCAAACTCTGTCACTGTGCTAAACCTCATTAAAAAGTTACATCTGGGCACTTCTCCTTGTCAATGCCCAGGAACCTTCGAACACTCATCCAGGATTTACTGTACGTACTAGCAAAAATTCTGACACAAAATACAAAACAATGGGTTTCCATCTCGTTCACCTTAATAGAATAGATCGATCGAATTTCCTTAAACAACCCCCCCCCCCCCTCATTCTGCTTGTCTTCGAAGATTCTGGAGCTGGGAATGCGAATCGAGTTACGTTGCTGTATCAATGTAATGAAACGAAGTTCCACGGGATTCTAGACGTGTACGTTGACTCCGCCGTCAGCCACCGTAACGCTCCCTCCACCCGGAATATTTACTTTCCTCCTGGCAGACGAGGTTGATGGCCGCCGCGAGTGAAAATCGACCGTGAAATTATAGACAAACCATGACAGAGAAACGGGAGGGAGAAGAACGCCCTTTCTTTCGGGTCAGTCGGTCACAGCCCCCTCGTCCCGAAACGATCTACGCGTGGCCCAGTGTCGATTCTTCCGCGTAGTCGAATGTGTGCTAACGGAAGTGTCGTATGCGTCATCCCCGTGAAAGAAAGTTGTCGATTCCATTACGCACTTGTCGGAATTTCAACGGTTGCCGTATCAGGCGTGACACCGTAGTCGCACGCCCATGCGAAACCATATCGTTGGACGAGTGGATTTCACTGACAACAGGAAAGTGTACCACTGAACGAAACATCGAGAATGAATTTCGTTTATTTGTGCAAAATTACGAAAGAACAAATTCCTTGCGTCATTGGTCAACCATGGATTCTACGCGTCGGTTATTGCAAGTTAATGGCAAGCTGACACAAGATCATTTTACGAGATTGTTTCACCGTAAGTATACAGTGACTCAAACATTCGTTCGCATACTTTCGGAACCACACAACTAAATGTAAAGATTTGTATGCATTTGCTATTCGTACATCTTCGTTAGCTTTACTCCCGTCATCTGTTCCCGATAAAATTTCCTTAATTTCGAAGTAAAATTCACATTTTGGTAGGTAATTTGATCAAATATATGCTATAGCCATCCATGAACAAATTTGTGAGTCACTGTAAGTACTCTGTGCCCCATTACCATCAAGATAACGTAACCATTCGACGTAGACATAGAAAACACGACATAGTAAAGCTTCCAAAAAAATCAGGCTGTCCTCTTTCGAGTCGATAGATCTAGTTTAGCTAACCGAACGATCGTTGATTTCACCTGTGACGGGCTCGACGAATGTCCGAACGAGTCGACATGAATACCGATTAGAAAGATGACGATGACGGCTGGAAAAATTAGTGTAAGTCCGTGGTATATACGCGGCGATGACCGGGACTGACCCACTTGTACTTCTAGAAAACTGACCAGTCCGCCCACGTTCCGTTCGAACACGAATCCAAGGTAGGTTCAATGTCGTCCTGCGTCGCATACAGGTAAACGGCTCGTATAGGTGTACATAGGTGGTCGGTGTATGCATATGCGCCCAGGCCGAGGATACACATACAGGTTTTGCCCTGCCCATCCCGAGTATTTGCGTACCGATCCGTTATCCAGCTGACACTCTGGGGAAATCCAAGAATCGCGAAAAAGAATCTTGGAGACGCGATCGAAAGGAAATTGGACGAACGAGATTCGAGGTCAGGCCTCGATCGTACGGGCACAGTTTCGATGACGGATTATAGATCGTGGGGAAGGCGAGAGACGGACAGCCGGAAGATTAATGATTTTCAGTGGACTCGATAGGATCCTCCGCACCTTTCACGGGTTTTACGGGTGAAATCGATACTCGTTGGTGGTTCTGTAACGATCGTATCTTGTGTCTGGGATCTGTCGAGAGTCTAGGAAATTGAATGATCTCAGAACCTTCATGGGAACATTTGATTCATGGGCTATCACGCGATCTTAGTTTTTGTGGGAAACGAATTTCTACGTACTAGTATCTGTAGTCTTATGGGTTTTTATAGTTCTAAGGTTTCCGTAGAATCCTACACGAATTTGCGATAAAATCATATTTGATCTAATTAGTTTAACGATTACAGTAATTTAATTAAAATGACCTCATCGTCGTGTGAGTTCCATACCGGGTGAAAACAATGTCGAGAAACTTACTTGCTGGGACAAATTGGGGAATATAGATCGGGGTGGCGATCACGGTGTTCATCAGCACGTTGCTTAGAAGAACAACCGCCCAGGCTTGTTTCTGTCGATCCCACATCTGAAAGCAGAAAACGGGACCAGTTTTAGTACCCACGTTACTTTCGCGATATTGCGAACAAGATCCATGTCTAAATATAAATTATTACAAATTAATCATTAAACCGTCATAAACAATACTCAATGACAAAGCGCAATTAATACGACATTGATAGGACCGTTGATCCGTACGATTGAAATCACTTGTCATTCAACGTGAAAGTAAAGGATCACTTGGCGTGGGAGTCGCTTGTTGGTGTTACTTTTGGTATCCGGTGAAATACTCCCGGAATTAAACTGGCATTCTCTCCGTGGAAATTTCGCTTCTTTAAACTGTGTCATCGACAATTTCGGTGTGTGTCGCGAACAGTGATAGATACGTTGTTGTCGCGAGCGCGATACAATAACGGATAAGAGTTTCCGTTGCATTGAATCATTCATCGATCAATCACCTTATAAGATTGTACACGAATCCAGATATCATTCGTTTGGATCCGCAAAATTCATTACGAACAATTTAGGACTAAAGGCTACTTCCATGTTCGCTGGTATTGCATCTTCTGTAATCGTGTTTGATACGGTCAGACGAATAAATCGGCTTATCGAGATTAGCAATTCGGTGCTCGAGTAATTTTCGACCGACGATTATTCCAGTGTTCGGTGAATTCCATTTCGGACAATGAGACACGGTACGTAATCGTCGTGCGAATTAACGGGGGATTAGCGGGCGGGGGCAACGATCACGGATCGCCGGAGACAATGGGCGAGGACGAGCGGAAAGAGAATTAAAACAGTCTCGCGAGAGTAGAAAGGTTCGTGTGAACGACCCGTATGAGAACGGTACGTTCGTTTTCAACAAGATGATGTCGACTAATGTCGAGCACGAGTGTTAGAGCGAAGGAGGAAGAACAAGATGGAGAAACGGATTCGCGGCTAGGCGATTGTTCGCCTCGACAATCCGTGTCTTCCCCATTTTTCTTTCGAGGAACCCCGACCACTTTCCTTGTGATCGTTTCCTACACGGGCTTTCTCGAACTCGCGCGAGCTCCGCGGCCATCGTTACACGATATTCGTCGTGCGGAGTGCCGAGTTACAGTTATTCAGAACCACGAATTCGGGTGTAACGTTACACAGAACTGTCCGGTCGAATCCGTGGCACCTCGACTGGTTATGGATCATCGTTTCGATTCGAAAGAGTTGTCCTCCTTTTCGATTCTTGCGCAAACCCTTTCTGCCTTTCATCCTACGATTCGAACGTAATCCATTTTACTTCTTCGTTCACATATATTCACGTGATTGTACACGTAAACATGAACCGAACTTGCGAAAATTAAAACAAATCTTGAAACTCCAGTAATCGAGCAGCTATAGACCGACGATTATATATATTTCCTTCAGGATTCAATTCAATATTACTACATTCATTATGAGTTGAATCGCAGGATTGAAAGTGGAGGAAGGGGGAAATTACACACGTCTTTCGCCGATGGTTCGAGCGTTTCGACGTTGAAATTCAGCCTGCGTAATTCCAGTCTCGTTTCAGCCTGTCCGAAGAAATGCAATGATCTCATCCAGTGTGCACTCGCGCGCTCCTCCTCTTTGAGGAAGTGATAAAAACCGTTACAGTTACCCAGAGGCAGGAATTCGGGTGGATGAAGCAACGAATGCCGACGTGAGCCGGTGTGCGCTGGCTTGTCGATGGTCAGGTTACTGGTTTCCTGCTTCTGATTAGTTAGGCGCGACAGTTAGCTTCTCCGCCTCGATTTCGAACGGGGCCACGATTTTTCGAAGGAACTCGACTTAACCGTCCGTCTGTTCTCGACACATTCAGGAAGCAGTAAGATCGTTCGCGTCTTTCTTCAAAAAATTCTTTCCCCTTCGCATATATCGCGAACCGCCAAGGGGGATAATTATCCTCGATTGCTATACATTTATCGTTCGATGTTCCTTTTCTCCCGACTGCGAATCAGAAATTTTATCGTTTCTTTTTACACAATAGCATCGTTCGTTTCTGCGTATACCGGAAAAGGTGATCGACAAGAATTGTCGGAATTTCTCGATCTACAAACTGGAAATGCCAATTCCGTCGTGTTTTCTGTAAGTAATCCGAGTAACCTGACGGTGTCTCGCTTCGAATGTCCGCTCGGTATTCTTTGTGTCCGCGAGTGGATGGGATCGTCGTGTTCTATCTGTAGCCATAGAATTTTCCAATTAAGGTGGCTTGAAGACAAGAGGCGTGTAAGTGGCGCATGTACGTACACGCGTGTCCCAGCGCGAAAAGCTTTTGTTTGTAACAAGCTGGCGCGTAAGTCGTAACGGTACCAGCCACTTTCATTTGTCCGCGCGTATCTAATGCAAAGCGTGCGCATGTGGGTTGGCGCCGAACCACGGTGTACAGTTGAGAAACAAATGAAACGCTTTGCTTCGGGCACACGAGGCGAGCGGAACTCGTGCTACAAATAATAACACGTACCGTAAAGTATAATGTACCCTCACGAGCAAACTCGGCTTCCGCTAAGGGAAAACGTGGCGTTAGAAAAGGGCTTTCTACCACTTGACAAAATTTATTTCAAGTACTGAAATAAATGTTAAAGCGAATGTTAATTTGTTGTAAATTTCGGTAATTCCTGATACCAAATGGTAAAACGCCGTTCCCCTACGCCACTGTTTTCCCTAACGGAAGCCGAGTTTGCACGTCAGTGTACATAAGACGAGGTTTAATCGTCGAGGTTAATACTTTCGTGTTCCGAACACGAAATACTCCGAAGCGTTGATCGGGCATAAAACTGATCGTCGTCACTGTTGAATCATTCTTTTTTTTTTTTATTGTCAGTCATTGGACACGCGTGGCCAGGTTCACCGATGTTAAATACTGTCCCTCGATCGATCGTTATACCGTTGAAGCGTTATTTAACGTCGAACGGGAAAGGTGTCCGCTTGGCACTGGTTTCGCAGTGTTTTTTTTTTCTTTCCTCGCCGCCGTCAGTCCGTGGATCACATACGAAACGAACACGATGTCATCGGTCGAATGACGCTCATACCAAAGTACCGGGACGCTCGTGAAAGTTTGAATTCCGCTTAAAGAAACGAGCGTTGTACCGCTATTCGTGAACGACATACGGTTTCGGTTTGGTAGATCGTTGCCAACGAGCCACGGAAATTTCTATCGCCAACATAGAAACAACAGGGACGATCCTCAGCCCGACAACTTGTCGAATTAATTAAGAAACAAATAATCTGAACAAAGGTCGTGTTCCGTGCCGCATTAATTTCCATCGTCATCCAACGTGAATCGCCAGTCTTGATTGGTTTCATATCATTGGGTTGCAATAGGGTTCGTTCGCGATCCTGCTTTATTTTCAGCCGAATGACCAATCGTTAGATCAGATACAACGCAAGATATATCAATATGACAATTAATGCACCGATGTCCAGTTAACAGTTGGACCAAGGAGGACAGTCGCGATAATTAAGAATTACGCCACCGCTAATAGCTTGTTCCAACCAAATCGAAGGACACTCGGACAGATCCACGGCGCGCGCGCGCGCGCTCTCGATCTTCATCCAAGAACCTTGTAGACGGAGTCGTAACCTTACCTTGACTGATACCGGCGAGAGCGACTGAAACGATGAAGAGACTTGTCCTCGGTCAGACTCCAAGAGGCGTCATCCCCCCGAGCGAGCCCAGTATTTTTTATCGTGAAATACACCCTTCCACAGCGAGAGCACAGTCCTCACCAGGTAATTCACCTGGAAACCAGTCCACCAAACGAATCCCCACGCTCCTTCTCCAACCTCTGAATTAGCTGAAATTCTCTCCTGTGCCGTCCCTGTATTCCGTATCGCGTAATTGGGGTGTGTCACTGGATCGCGCGTAAAAAACCTTTCAGGGTACACCTCGCGACCGAAATCTAGATTCAGGGGGGTTTTTTTTTTGTTTATTATAACCGTGAAACAATCCACGAAAAACACGTCCTTTCTTTGACGACGGTAAGAAGGCCGAAAAAACACGATGTATCGTTGTTACCGAATCTCGATTCGCTCGCCACGGCTCGCACCGATCGAACTGGTTTTCCGTCGTGATCCTAGCGCGCGCGGTTCACGACTTCTGGATCACCGATCCAGGTGCTCCCGGGTGCGCTCCGCGTGCACGAATCCTGCAGCGTCGGATCTACGTTCGTGAGGGCCCCTACCACACGGCGGTAGAACGGAGCCCAAGCTAAACTACAGGACAATTCCGCACGGTAGACCGTGCCAGGGTCGAGGATACACCTCGTGACAGGGACTTTAGCACCGGCTCGAGGTGAGGTGGTGGCAATGACCGTTCTCCTCCGCTGCTCCTCTCCTTCTAAACGTATTCTGCTCCTTGTCCCTCCACACGCGGCCACGTTTTCTGCCTCTTCCTCCATCCCTTCCTCGTCATCTTCGCGAGGGGCCTGTTCGTTCGTCGCAGCTCTTCTGGCCTTTCGAACGTCCCCACCTCCGACCCGGTTGTCGTCGCAGGTCGCCGGACGCCCGAAGGAAACACGTAGGCCTCTCCACGCCGATATTATTATCCTTACCCTTTTTTTTTCCCTTCCTTCCTACAAGGACCGATCCTCAGACCCGACGACCGAACCCCTCTAGTTCTGGTCCGGGTTTAAGGACAGCGATCCAACCCTTTGATACGAATGAAGGACGCGATCCGAATGAACGATTGCTGTTTCGTATCGGGAATGGAGTCGAATCGTAGTGTTTGGTGTATCCAGATGCCCGTGTTAATGGTAACACTTTGATGTCGGAGGACGTAGTACAGTAAATTCTCGATTAGGGTTCGAATGCTCCTCGGCATTGAATGTGAAATATTTAATAAATTAATGACCACATGCGTGTGAAACATATAGTATTTGATTCAAAATTCTAAGCTTCAGTAAGAAGCCTGCGATACACCTGGAGACCTCTTCTTGTCGAGGATTTACCGTAGTACATCCTTTCAAAAACAAAAACTGAGGACGATTGACATAGTAGTGCATCTTCTCTTAA